CGGAGCGAGGCGGGGCGGGGGTGCTCGGGGGACTGCGCGCTCGCTCCGTGAACCACTCGAGGCGACAGGCTGTGGGGTGGAAATAGGAGGGAACGTCAAACAATAAAAGGGCCTACTTGTGGTCGGGCGGGGAGGGGAGTCCAGTGAGCCGACAGAACACGCCCCGACCGCCGTGCCTTGGTCGTGCCCCGGCCGTGCCCCGGCCGTGCCGCGCTATCCCGGCGGCTGGGTTGGCCGGCGGGGACCTGCGTCCACATCCCCGACTTCATTAACAGTATCTCATACTACAGCCGCCCTATCGGGCGTGCGAAACACCCTCCCCTCTCTCACCTCGAGCGCGAGGGCGCGTCCGGCTGAAGTCCGCCTCCGCCTGTTCAGGGCGCCGAACAGCCTGGTCAGCCCCTATGGGTCGTGGAGATGAAGCTCCTAGAGGACGGCCTCCCAGTGGCCTCTGCACGGAAGTCCACCGTGTTTGCCATTTGCAGCCGGAAGATAGCCCTAAAGGCCCTGACCTGGTTCGATATAGGTGAACGTGTACATCCTCCACTCTCTACAAACTCGTTGCCTTTCCCGCCGCAACTGCTGCGGTTCACGCGCATGTCACTTATAAACTTATCCCAGCCACGTTCTTCCGTTCCTTTGTTGTTGGGAGTTTCGAAACGTGATTGTTTCTCTTTCTATCCGACGCCCCCCCCCCCTCCTTTCTCTCTCACCTCGGCCGCAGAGCTCCACTGTCGCTCTCTCTCTCTCTCTCTGTCTTTTGGCCACGTTCTCTCTTACTTTCTCCTCCTTTCTACTTCCCCGCAACTTGTAGCCTCCCTTTCACCTTATTGCAACCACTACTCCATTATTGTTCCGCGCCCGGTAAAAAAACAACAATAACAGAAAAAACAGTAGGCACACCGACATAAAAAATGCTCCCCCTCCCCTCGCTTTTAAGTTCCACGGTCAGATTCCTTTCTCTGGCCGCTCTCCCCCTACTCATTCCATCAGCTGTAGATAGCACAAGGCTACTTGGCGGTAAGAGTCGGAGGGAGGGAGGGAGGGAGGGAGGGAGGGAAGAGGAAAAGAGCGAGAGACAGGGTGGGGCGACGGGGAAGAGAGATAAGTAGAGAAGAGTGAAGGGGAGAAAGGAAGGAGAAGGGAGGACGGCAGCGAAGCATGCGTGTTTCGGACGGGCGCTGTTTCAGAAGAAGTGCAAAGAGTGGCCAACTGGCGTGGCCCGATAGCGCTCAGCAGTGGCTGGCCGGCCAAGGGAAGGGCTTCAGGAGGGAGCGGGGGGAGAGAGAAAAGAGTGTCATAAGTACAGGTTATGCGGTATTTTATTGTGTTTCTCCTCCGCCGGGAAAGAAAAGTCACAGGCAGCTAAGGAAAAGGGTGGTCGGGCTGTGAAGTGCGAGGAGATGGGGGAAGGGGGTCAAGAAACTGGAAGAGGGCCTCTTACCCCGCGCGCCCCTCCTATCCGCCGGATACAGAGGGCTACCCGCGCCACACAACGCGTCCGATAACTGACGAGGACAAATGTCGTGTAGCGTGTCCTTTTTCGATTCGACGACTTTCAAATGAGGCGCAAAAAAGGGCGGGGAAGTGAGAGAGCAAAAAGAGAGATGAAACGAGAGGGAAAAAGAATAAGCAGAATAAGGGCGAGCACAGATGCTACCGAGAGGGGAATATGCGAGCTATAGAGAGGGAGAAAGTTTGACGAGAGAGGCGAGAGCAAGGACGGTAGCGCGTTCCTTTTCCCTCCCACTCTCACGGGATTCCTCTGTCTCTGCATCGCGTATATAATATCGATAAAAGCTCGGAGGCGACATCAGAGGCACGCCAACAAGCGTGGCTCGCGACGGCATTTACGGGGCACGCGCTAAAAGACTTACAACCAAAGCGAACACAGAGTAATAAGAAAAATGCCGACAATTTCCTGCTCCCTCGCTCTAGCCCCTTCCCAGAACCTAAACTGACCAGCGTGGCGCCGTGATGCCTTCGACAAAGAGGAAAAAGCGAGGAAAGGGGGCGGGGTCGTCGGGGATTTGGGCGAAAGGGAGGGGGGAAAGGATTGGAATCCCGCAGGGTTAGGTGTGACCCCATCCCATCATCCTAGGCAGCAAGACCCAGTGGGAGGGAGCGCGGGGCTCGACTCAGCAAAACAGGGCTTGTTTGAATATGAATGGTTTGATCGTAAATGTCGTATACCTCGCCAGGCAGTGTCTGAGTTGGGTGGGTCGGACCTCCGCTCCATCCGGGGGGACGGGATGTGGCGTGGAGGGGCGTGGAGAAGCGTGGAGGGGCAGGGGGTCAAGTTTTGGGGGAAGTGAGTTTCTAGAGCTCCTGCTGCAGTTTGCTTCACGCCTGGTCGGCACAAGGACCTTCGTTGTTGTTGGGTTGCTGGGTGCTCTGGTTTTGCACTGGCCGCACGCGTCCACACCGAAATGCCTTCGCAAGTTTTTCAATTGGTACAATAAAGTGTTGCTTATAGTAGGAGACGAAACCTTCGAAACGATTCGGACAAATTTCTGCGCGAAATTTCGTGATATGTCCGTCCTATAGTTAAATTCAGATAAGTGTTCTTCATCAACGCAGAAATGAGTGCACAAACTCAGCTTAAATTCGCGGAAATAAAAGATAGACAAATAAAGTTAGTGCGCTCACGCCTCATGTAAGCGCGGGAGTTGAGCATTCCCCCTCCGCGTTTTCGAGCAGCTGCACTGCAGATTATTCTGCCCACGAGAACAAAAGCGAGCGATGCGCCGCAGCTAGGCGCCGCCATGGCAGGCATGCAGCACGCACCGAAAATAATACGAGCCATGGCTCTAGGCATTGTGAGGGGCCCGGATGGAGGGCGGAATGGGTCGGAAAGGGGGGCATGATTTTGAGGGGTTGGGGTAGGGTCGGGGTTGGCGGAGCCGTGCAGAAAGAGGGACGGGTGTTTTATGCAGTTTCTCATCAACTTTGGCGAGCAGCAAGCAAGAGGAACTTTTCAGTCGGCATCAGCAGCAGTAAGGGGCCGGGGGGAGGGTGGGGGGCGGGGAGGGGTTGCAGGCAGGCAGCTCGTGACAAAGGCGTTCAGACGCGCAGCGACCACAAATGGCGAAGCCTTGTCCCGGGCCGCCGTTACTGTAACTCTGATCCCGACAGGCGGGTGCGCGCCGCGGCCAGCCAGCCATAGCCAGCCGGGCGGGCTGCCTCCTCGAGCAGCGGCAGGAGACGACAAGAGCTGACATTGTGAACTCATTAACGGTCGCGCCCGAGGTGTTTCCGCGGTGGTTTTCATGGATTGAGGTTGTATTGCAGTTACTCTATCGAAATCGCACAAAAAACAGCAACAAAGAAAGGATGACGGCCAAATAATAACACATATATAGTCCAAAAATATTTCGAACTAAGACGTTTTGTAGACAGTCCCTTGTGACCGTCTCGACACGACGAAGGTAAAGGTTCAACTCACCGTGCACGTCCACGCAGCCGGTCTGCTTCTTCATCTGCGGCGTGTTGATCTGGCACATGTAGCAGCCAGCATCGGACACCTTCACCTGGCGGATGTGCAGCTGCCATGTGCGCTGCGTGTCGTGCGACACGGACACGCGCGCGTTGTGCGTCACCACCCTGTTGGCCAGCGCCAGGATGGTCTGGTCCGACACCTTCATCCACCCCACCTGCGCACACAGACAAGGACACGTTTAGAGGATTCACTTAGTTCTTCGTGTTTTGCTTTAAATCAATGGGAGTGATCGGTACCGCGCGGACTATAAAGAACACATCCCAAGATGCTCGCCCCGGGCTGGCTGCCCGCTCCTCTGCCTGATACCAAAGGGCCGCTGCTGCAAGTTTGAGTTTTGGCCGCACCAGATGTGCTTCGCGCGGCGCTCGTCCCATATTTGTTTGGAAATATTCAGGCGGGACGCAGCAATAGCGGCCGCTGGCTGGCTCTTGGCTGGCTGGCTGCGCCCCCTGGGACGCGCGGCCGCGGGTGACGGCATGAAAATCGCTCGACATTCCTTCGGAAAACCGATACAACGGGAGGAGGCAAACTCGAGGAATTTCATATTCGTCTTTGTTTTCCCGTCTTTCCTCAGTAGACCGGGTGGCCGGAGCGAGCGAGAATGGGGAGGGTGTAGGGGAGAAAGGGAACGAGGAGGGGGTGGGGGGCGATGGAGCTCGCGGCAGCTGCAGACTGACGGGTCATCTTTTTACCATATTTCATCAACGATTAAATCGGGTATAAGCTACGCGAGACGGCGCAGAGCCCAGCTGATCAAAAACATTTACCGTTTCGCGCTAGTGTGTGAGAGAGAGTGAGGGGAAGGGATAGAGAGGGGAAGGGGCGGGAGGCGTGAGCAGAGCAGATCAAATACAAAAGGATAGAAACATATATGCCGCCCGACCAAAAGCTGCTGCTACCAGCCTCATCATTCGCGAGTGCGCGAGTCAAACAAAGACACTTCTCATTCTCTCTCTGTCTCGCACGAGGGCGTGCGCATCCCCCCCCCCCAACACACACACACACACACACACACACACACACACACACACACACACACACACACACACACACACATGAACAGCCCCGGGGCACCGGCCACAATAATCACCCTAACAGTCCCTTGTTGTTTCTCGCTGACAAATCTGGTATATCGCGCAGGCATTCCTCCATTCATGGCTGCTGCTGAATGCAACGTGATGCATGGAGTGCGGTGCCCCCTCCCCCCC